GATCCTGTCACATTCCTGGCAGCAGGGGTTTTATGGCTTCTAATGATGCCTAACAACCTAGGATGGAAGAACTGAGGGAGAAAGGATGGATAGCGGGTCAATTTTGCACTGTTAATGACACATTTGCACATACCCAGGAATGTGGAAAGGTGCACAACAAGCTATATTCATGAACAACAGGTGCCCACATAGATACAGCAGAGAAGGGAGAAGGGTAACTCCTTACTTAAGGACAGAGAATGTAATATAAGTAGTAACATCTTAAAAGGACTAATGCCTTAAATGAAATATGTTACAAAAAATGTAAATACACAAGAATGATCAGAGAAATGGGCCTGATAGCAAAACCAGATGAAAGAAATTACTTAGAGAGGGGAAGAAAGAGAGGCTCTGAGAAAGAGAAAGATGGTGTGCTAGTCGAAGGACGACTAAAGATGAACTGAATGGGAGAAGTGAATGAACGGTACCCCAACGGTGATGAGAGCCGGCACTGACCGAGTGGCACTGAGCGAGCCAACAAGTAATGTATAAAACGAACACGAAAACAGCGGGGCGTGCACGGCGAGCATCTCCAAATCTGCTATTTACATCTGCGTCACAGGGCTTCAAGAACATCCAAATGAGGGGAACAGAGCCGGCCACAGCAGGCTTGTCAGCCTCTAATGTTCTCACATCATAGCCATGGTCGCCCCGACCAGCTGTGGTGTACCCTTCTGTGGGCGTTTGGAGTCTGCCTCTTAACGCATTTTGTGTGTGAGGATTTGGATTTTCCAGAATGCTTTGGGATGATGCTGTGGCTCCTCCATGACAAAGAAATGTCAGTTAACAAGTTCTTTAGCCAGTAGTTCATTAAATGATGACTGCAAATAGCACCAGTCTCAAGAAAATGTCATTTACACAAATGAAAAAAAGCTGTGACAACTTTTTGAAGGTTGACATTTTGGTATCACATATTTTACTCCTCTCTCGATCCTCCAAGCTCCTTGATCTTTTTCAATTTTGGCTGGGGGACATGAGTTGTGTAACACCAGTGCATTCAGTTCTCCTATTAGTCAGTCTGCACTCAAGCCCTTTATCACCGGAGGCAAACTTCACCAGTATATCAGCTACACCGCCACATACTCAGCCCTGACGCAACCCCCTTAACATTCAAATTTAGACCCCCATCAAAACTGTTCTGAAACCTTATCCAAAACAGCACATTCTTTCAATAAAAAGACATGGCTCAGCTGATGTTTCTGTATGCGAGCACATGTTTATGCCGCTCTCCAAACCCAATTATTTCATTGTCCCGACACTCAAGCTAATAAATCAGCTGGATTAGGAGAGCAGAGGGAGAGCAGGGAGTACAACAGAAACAGGGGGAAGAAGAAGAAGAAGAGGGAGGTTGTCCTGGAAGATAGAGTTTTTACAGTTTCACTGAAATGTGGCATGAAGTCACGCTCTGAGAAATTGTAGCAATTAATCAGAGCTACTGAATACTATCCACTCAACTAATCACAATTAACTTAATGAATGAGTCACAAGGAAAAGGGCCTGCATGCTAACTAAAATCCAGTCCCCACAATGCCCAGAACTAAAGAATGAGACAGTGAATGAGAAAATAAAAGAGAGCAAAGTAAGGAGAGACGGAAAGGAAATTAGATATTGTATAGCCGCATTGTTATGATGTCAACTTTGAGAATTTCAGGCTGATTATATGAAATTGCGAGTTAAAGGGCACATCCAAATCAATTTGGTGCGGCAGTGAATGTGGACCCTGCACAATTAGAGGGTTTTTTATTGGTTAGTGGAATGGCTGTGACTTCACCATGAGCATCTGACCCGCTGGCTGTTTCCTTAATGTATGATCTAACTGTTCATTAGGGTCAGTTTCCCGTTAAAGATGTACAGGATGAGAATTGGCAAGGGACCAGAGGTAAATGCGCAACCTTAACATTTAGTGTCAAATTAGAGGGTCACAAAAAGTAACTTCACCTCTACAAATGACAAAGTAACATGAGTTTTTGAGGAGTATTAGGGCCATTTCACACTAAGTGCAAATTTTTGACATTTGTCAATGCCATGTCAGCACTTTTATGTGTGGAATAAGGAGCTGTAATGTTGTGCAATAATTGTATTGTCTTTTTGCATGACAAGCAAGTTCAGAAGTGAAAATCTGGGGGGAGTATAGTGGTGCTGGTGCACATGCTTCTTTCTTGTGTTAAACCTTTGCCTAAAATGTTTTCTTTCTTTCTTTATTGCAGTGGAGGAGGTAAAAGATTGTGGAGAAACCATTATGACGTGTTCAAGAGACAGACAGTTACATGATAAATGGCGGAAGCAAAAACAACAACACAGATACACGAAGGCTGTGGAGTTAAAAGATTAAAGTATGTTCACAAGTTTCACTTTTTTCTGCTGCAAATCTTTTAATGTGCATAAAAATAAGACGTTACGGAGTATACATTTAGCATGAAAGGCCTTTAGCTATACAGCAGTTTTGAAGCCACAGTAGAGGTCCCACTGTTCCTGTTATAAGTAAGTTATATTCCTACAGCACTCTGCTCCATTCCCACAGGAACTATTTGATGAATGCAAGTCTTACTCTCTCGGGATATGTTAATTCTTCAGTGGTCAAAAGATAGAGAAGAGTCATAGGTTCTGACCAGAGGTGTGTGGTGTGTGTGGCAAATAAGATGTTGGAAGATGCAACCACAGTCTTTCTCTGAGGTTCCAATCACTTGCCCAAAAAGGGGCCAGAGTAGATATCTTGTTTTAAATCTTCTAAAGTTATTCAAGTTAGCCTTCTCTTTATGCCCCCAGTACAAATACAAGACCTCTGCATGTGACATTTCAGACACTGCTTACTGCCACAATAGCATCCCTTTAGTATTTATTGTATTCTTTCATGCATACACAGAAAAAAAGTATGCCCTGCAGGATAATCCAAATGTTGCCCACACCATGGCTAGGCCTAAATTATAGCCACAGGAGATTGTGGGCAGCAGCTGTGCCCCTATGGGCAGTGAGAGGACAGCTAAGACTTGCTAGGAAGAATCTGCTCAAACATTCTTCCCATTACTCCAACATGTAAGACGTCGTCATATAAATGTACCTTGAACCTTCATATACTTTAGTGGCTGTTACATTTACATTTATGAATAAAATGTGTTGTCTAATGCAAGTTGGATATTATCATGACTTGACTTCCTACTATAATCTAATGCTGTAGCCTGTATTGCATCAAAGCCTATAGCGAGTGAACCTAAGTCAATACACTGGTAGAAAACTAAGCTGCCATGACAACAATACTGCAGTGATATGGATGATATATTGTATTCTATGAGGCACATTCAATTAAAGCTCGTTTACAAAATGGGCCTAGTGTTGACCCCTAAAAGAATTCTAGAGGCATAGGACCTTCTCTACTTAGTCACTTTGAACACACACAATAACCAGTGGGACCTAAAAACATAAAACTGAGCCACTACATTACTACACAAATATATTCCACATAATTAACATCTTCAGTGTCATACAATAATACACAATATAACAGACATCATAAATGTGTGTTTCAGGGCTCTCAGAAACCAAATCACTTAGACAAAAAAAGAATCAAGTCATGTAATGGAATAACACCAGCTAGGTGATTAAGCTGACCGGGGCGGGTGTAAATCACATTATGGTTTCAGGGAATGTGATCCAACATCAGACTTGGGAGAGGCCAGAGTAGGAAGCACCCGCGACAATGTGTGTTGAAAGGGAGAGCAAAAATTCCTCCAAGCCACATTATTACGTTCAGCAGCTACACAGAACATGCAACACGCAGGGACCCAAAAATGGCTGAGGTGTATTCTCCTTCCCCCAGGGTGTGGTGAGAAGAGTGCGCGGGCCTGGAGCCAAGATGGTGGTCAGGGCGAAAACCACAAAGTGAAAATAGAGACGGCCGGGGCCAAGACACGTCCGGCACAGATCAAAGGTGGGCCGCGCCTCAACACACAACAAAGTGATACGATGACAGATGGAGGTCTTTGACAGACCATTGAGATTTTGAGTAGTGGAGTGTTTATGTGTCGCAGAACACTGATGTCAGTCAATTAAATCTAAGAATCACAACAATGGCTAAACAAAGATAATCATCATCAAGTTTAAAAAAAGAATGGTACGCGGTGCAATCAAAACCAGCGGCAATTAAGTTTGGTGGGGTTAAAGGGGCACAATCCCAAATATGCCTCACTAGTTGACTATGGAACAAGAGCCATCAAACAATGTATACAGAGACACCCAGGGTGGAGTGAAAATGAGAAGGCCAGCAAAGACATCGCTGCAATAAGAGTTGGGGCCCAAAGCCGAGACAGACGGGTGGTTGTTGACGTCTGTTACAATGTCTGAAGAGCACGGACGTGAGAGGCATGTTACAATGAGAGAGCAACACTGACCAGGATAGAAAAGGAAGCTGTTCGCAGACAGCAAGCCTAGACTGGCTGAAAATACTCATGGCCAAGAGCAGGGTAATTGTGGTCGGTTATGGTGTGCTTACAACTTCAAGGTTGTGGGTTGGATTCCCATAGCCAAGTACCTCAAAAGCATGTATGGTATTGGCTGGACTTGTGGTGTGGATACTGCTTTGATACAAGACGAATTCAGAAATTCAGGCTTTAGTGAAGAAAGCCTAGATTTTTATAAATATGTTAATCACAAATAATAAAGAACCTGATAGAAAATCTATGTTGGAAACTGAAATTGAGTATTTTTATGCCTTCATTGGAAGCTAACAATAGCAGGGATATGGATAACGACTTGCAACACAAAATCCCTGGCATCCCATGACTCAATCCAGAGATTTTGAGGAACATGGTTGGTGCTTTTACCCCTAGGCCACTGGGGCACCCCTAAGACATTTTTTACAATCTGTTAACATCCCAAAACGGCCGTCAAACTTCTGGGGGCTACTGAAAACCACTTTGTACAAATCAATTACATAATTTCTCAAGATAACTGACAAAGTTACTTACAAGAGGTTCCTTGTTTTTGACGAGTCTTATGATTTTCACCGAATCCTCATCATCGTCAATGTCTTCAGGCAGTGGAGGTAGTTCGGGGTCGTAACCCTTCTGGGCGACGGTGTCATGGACTGACAGAAGGCTCTAAAGGAGGGAGAGGGATAGAGGGATGGATGAGCGGAAAGAAACAAGAGGCAAGGGTTATCAGTCAAACCATAAAGGCCTTAGCTTTACCTCTGTCTAATTAGCCAAATAAAGTATAGCAATACATGTTATAAAGAATTCAATCCATCACTTCTTTCTTTAAGCAGGACAGAGAAAATGCAGAGACTGCAGGGATGATGGTTATGGATTGGGGTGTCTCCCTCATGTGCTGGGTGATGGATTTGAAAGCATCCAGAGCCAGAACTTGCAGCTACATGCGTTAATTGCCATTAGGCCCATGTTCACCTTCCATACATCTCTCTGATTAAAGGCAGCAAGTGAAAAGCCCCCCCCCCCCAATTTTGCTCGCAACTGGCAACTTGGCAATTGGTTTCAGTACCGATGCTTTCCAGGGCAAGGTGGTGAACACTCCGAGAAGCAATGTTCTACACAGTTCGGCGGCAGGCTCAAAGTAATGAAGTTCTCATTCGCCTCAGATATTTCACACGTTCACGAGCAGACATATAAAAAAGAGACGGGATGCAGACAAGAATGATGCCATTGAGACATTCATTTTTCAAACTATTTAACGACTCCATGTCCGGACCAAGATGCAGCTGGACGCGTGCTGCTTTTTCCGTGGTTGAGGAGGGGAGAGAAAAGTGAGAAAAACATCTTCCACCCCATGTGCCAGACAAAAGTAGAGAGAGTGAGAGAGAAAAGGAGAGAGAGACAGAGAGAAGGATATGGTGAGAAGAGGAGCAGTGTGTTTTATGACATGGGAGCATGCTGCAGTACAGCATTCAAGATGTTGCTAACTGGGAGCAGATGAGAGGAGGAGACACAACTGGGGCTGTGTGGCCAGGATCCACTGTGGGATGAGCTGACCAACAGTCATTCAAATGCAGACACAGAGTTTATCTTGTTTACTTGTAATGACCTGGTTCTATTTATTCCCTATATTCCTTTACTGTAACTATAATAAAGGATGATTCCGGTTTATTACAACTCGGCTCTTTCTTTTATAGTTTTAGTCATCATTCCTATCTGCATTAATAACATTTTGCTCATGGGGAACCGCAGTGGCCTAGGGGTAAAGGGCGCCGACAATTATTTGCAATTAAGTGCCACATGCGAGCCTGACCATGCATCTTTGTTGAATGTCATTCCTCGTCTCTCTCTCCTCAAATTTCCTGTCATTCTAATACTGTTCAATCTGTAATAAAAGGCCTAAATTGTCCCCCGAAATTTTAACAATTATATTCTACAAAGTTAATTGCAGAGACCTAAGAATGTGGCAACATCACTAAAAAAAGTCCATTGGGCCAAGAAACATTAAGACAATCACTCAGGTTTTAAACAAAGCCGGATAGGTAAACTTATTTGCAAAAGAAAACAAAGGGAAACAATAAAGGGATTACTATAACTGTTCCATGTAAACATCAAGGAACATCCTGGTTCAGTTTTGACCTACCATACTTACCCTAACAGTCCTGAGCCAAATGGGATGTTTACTGACATTTCAGGTGTGCTCACTTTCAGTTTTACCTCCGAATTAAGTGGTTTAGAAAATCTGGCTAGACTGCTGACTTATTAACAGCTTGTCTGATCTGACTGTAATGTTTGTCCCGTCAGATCTAGCTGTAGAAGATATCGCTGTTTTCCCAGACACTAGCAGTTAATTCAAAATCAAATCAAAACCAAAAAAAGCAAAGGCCAAAGCAACAAAAGTAAGATCCAAGTTGTAATAAAATTGAATTTTCCTTTAACTCACCTAATCTAATGACTAATTTCTGCTCCTACCCAAAACCTACTCTTTATACTAACCCCTAAGGTTCTAACTTAAACTGGCCCACTGGAACAATGCAGACCAGACAAAATGACCAAAAAATGTATTCAAATTCCCAGAACACACATTTAATTTCATATTTTTCCCTTTCTCATCTTTCCTCTCTGAATTGTTTTCTTGGTCCTCCTGTCCAAGCTTCTCTCAGATGCCATTAATCCTCTCTCTTCTTTGTGTTTGCTCTTCTTCAGTTTTATCTTTCATGTATTTTCCCCAAAATGTTCCCAGCAACAGTATGTTCATTTCTCAGAACAGGCCTAACAATGTGTTCCTGGCTTTCATCTGCACCATACATAAATACACACTTTGTGTTGCATTTTATGTCTGGGGATGCTGTCATTATGGTATTGAAATATTGTCTTGGAACGCTGGGAACGAAAACTGTTTGCAGATGAGACAATAAAAGTAAACTAAAAGGCAATATTACCCCAATCCTTTGCTCGATATAACATATAAAGTATATTTTGTCCAGACATGGACAGCAATGTTGTGATGTGATCAGTGATGTTGCATTGTGATACTCACAGCAACGATTAACACGCATGACCTTATAACAAACCCTTAGAACCAAACACACTGTTTCTTTACAATAACTTGTATGTACTGCTTCACGTACATTTAATTTATTGACAGCATGTCGAATGTTTTCATTTTTTTTCAAGATATTACTTCAAAGTGTATACATCTCATACAGAAAATGAAACCTTGAGCTTACCTAAAACAAGTGCGACCAGTGGTGAGATGCCGCTGTGGGGTAGATTTGGTTTATGAAAGACACCAGCAATGCAACAAAATACGTAAAATAAGAGCAACTGAAATGTCAGATGGGTTGGTTGGGTCATGTTTAATTATATACCATTACACGTTACAGTTTAGGTGGAAATGACAACAGAAATAAACAAATTTGCAGATTTTAAATATCTCCGCAATTCAAATCAGAATCTGCCGGGGAGTGTTCAGTCTATTATAGCCAGTGAATGGAAGTAGCACTTCATTCAGAACTGAATAAAACATAACAGGGCAAATATTTAAAAAAGAATGCTACTGACTTTGTGGCCACCGTCTCGTTTTCTTTACCTTCTTTTTCTCTGTTTTTTTTCGCCCACATGGGGTATGAGAAAACCAAATTTAATTTGGCGCTGTATCAAATTCCCAGAGTTCTCCAAAAACATCCATCCTCCAGTTAAAGCCAGCCCATGCCGTGACAGCAAACCCGGAGAAAAGGGAAGATTTTTTGAGTTTGAGGTTAGATACATGTGGGGTTGTGGTTCTCTTTATGGTGTTTGACTGTCAGTCACAGCACCTGATCTGGGTCATGACAACATGTGGGTCAGCCAGGCGTCCATCAGCGTCTCAGCAGGGTGTGACACCCATGCAGGCCTGGAGCTTGAGAAGCAGAACTACAGTGTTTTGCTGACGCTGATCAGCATTAGTCCCCTAGAATGACATTGTAGTAGTGCGGAAAAAATGCGTTACTCTGTCTACTGACTTATAAAACCCTTTCTCTAAGCTTTTAAGCCCTTTGTGCTTATTTTTCTCTTTCTAAACATTGTTTTCCATTGTCATTTGTCTGATTGTAACCTGTGAAAATAAAATAAACTCAACTCAAACCCAAATGATTTGCTGCTTGTCTCTGTTTTATGTCACAGTAAACAGTAAACGTTGGCTTATGGACTGTTGGTTGAACAAATTACAAATGCGAACATGTCAACTTAGGCTTCAGGGAACTGAAATGTGCAACTTTATATTCTGACTTTAGAGACTCAGTGTTGAATAGATGAACACTTTTGTGCTCACACTATTGTGCTCTCTCTCTCCCCAACATATTTCCTTTTCATGCTCACCTCAACCTTTCCTCCGCTAACCTGCCAGTTGCCGTTTCCTCTGAACTCTATCCATCAGGCCTAATATCCGGACCGGTGAATGTCCTCTTATCGACGGCACTTCCTTAAATGTGGCATTGCTCTCCATTGCCACATTCTCCCCATGGTCGTGCTCAATAACCCATAACAGAGTCAGAGCTAATTCCTTGTAAAAACTTTCTAGAAAGTAGCAATAACAGCTGTATACTAATGGACAGCACATGGTATATGCCCTGGCTGGTGACCGCTGACATGTACAACTACATAGGTAAAAATGTTTTACACACACACACACACGTCTCTGTATGGAAGCTTTCTTCCTGGGCTGATATGTGTAAGCGGGTCTTGTTGTACCTCACTGTTGGTGGATTAACCACCTAATCACATCTAGAGTTATATCCATATATGCAGCTGAGGCCACGGGAGGAAAGGAGAAATGAGAGTGAGAGACGGAAAAAAAGATGAAGGGAAGCAAAACCACCCTTGTTTTCCAGGCATCCTGTCCTTTCTTGGTTCGCGTGTTTGTATTCATTAGGCATAATAGGGATCCTAGAAAAACAGATCACTGTGCTTGACTAAATAAACCTGCACGTACATTCCTGGCATTGGCCTCTCATTAAAGCCCCCAGCCCTGTCACCGGCCCACTCGTTTTTCAGCTGGTGGTACTGGATCGGTGCAGGGTAACCACTCTCCCCAGGCGTGAACTGCTGTGAGCATTCTGACTTGGAGGCACTGGTGTAACCCAGCTGGGATTTGACACTCATGCCCACCCTTTCTAAGCCTTGAACCTCAATATGCACTGCCCAGAGCCAAACACATTCTGCAGGCGTACACACACACCTACTTCCGTACATGCTGGCGGAAACAGCTGGCCATCATAATTGAAACTTTCATCACTGTCAATATTAGTTTTGCTGAGGGAGGCTAATATGTGTGAAAGTTGTTTTTTCATGTGCAAATCGTAAAAGAGAAAGTTTGAGGCAGAGAGGGAAGGCGAGAAAGAGACAGAAAGAAAGAGAGAGGGGAGTTTTAAAGAGTCTGATTTACATCCACACCCTAGGAATGGATCATTTCAGCCATAATTAAGAGTGATACAGTTACTATCGCACAGAGACGCCATTCAAAGGCAGCAGCCATCTGCTTGTGTTTTACACCCCCGACCCTATGATTTACACTGGGGCTGGCTGGTATGGTATCAAATGCCCTGGAGGACAGATGGAGACAAAAAGAGAGCAAAGTTTTAATACTTTATTCTCGAAGCCCACATGCTGCCTACAGTTTGAGACAAAATGTCAGGAAACTGCCAAGAGCCTCCATGCCTCGGTATGTTACAGTCAGTGCCGTCCCTCCAAACCAAGATGCTGGAACTAATCTATTGTTGACCGAATGTTCCCGCTCAAGCCAGCAGGAGTGTTGAGGCCCAGACACTCAAAACCAAGAGTAGAGGTCATGAAGCAGGTAGAGAAATTGTGTGCAAGTGTGTGAACATACGCAGATGTCAATCTCTCAACTTGATAACACCAGGTATGACGCTTTCCCTCACAAACTGACATACCCAAAGAAATAGCTTTCTCTGAAGTTTTTTTTTTTTTTGTGGCAGCCATGAAATGTTTGAAATAAATCTTTGTTAATTCTAGTTAAGAGATAAAATGTCACTGCACTGTAGGTCGCCTCCCTTGGCCTCAGTTGCTTGTGTGCTTCCGACAGTGCTGTCGGCCGGCAGTCAAGGAAGCAGTAGCCGAATATTTTCCATTGTTTGGCGTGGAATTGTTTGGCTGACCTCGTTCTGCACTGGAGCGGAGGTCGGCACAGCAGCAGCGTGTAAAGGTGGTGGGAGAACAGAGCGAATTCAGAGTGAATAGAGAAAGCAAATAGACAAACACTGACAAAAAGTAAATATTGGTGAGGCTCTTCCTGAGTAGACAAAGCTGAAGCTGGAGAGAGGATTTTGTTACTGTTTGCACTTCACTAATGAATTATATTTATTTAATAGCAACAAAAATAGCAGACTATACTCAGCAAACAGTGTTTTTGGGTATATTCCTAATTCAGTTCATGTTAATGGAGAAGATTTACCGTCCCTGACCCAATCATTTTATTTGGCAAGCAAGGGAAATACATATCTAATTTTAGCAATAACTCATATATTTTAACAAAAGCAGTGTTTCTCTTCACGGTGAACGTTTCAAGTCTGTTGACACGCCATGGACACTATATTACTGCAGCAAATGTGAGAAGTTAAACTTAAGTCTGCAAAAACAATATTTCCGGGTGGTGTAAAGTTGCTGAGACTACATTCAAAGCCTACCTGATGAGTATTGCCTAACTGCAATCTACAATGAACATAAACAAGACCAACACACTAATTCAAGCTGGATGGTCAGCTGTGGTTGGGGTAAGGGCTTTGATATCGAGACTGGGGCTGAAGAATTGGCCGTGGCACTTGCACGGGCTATCTTAAATTAGAGGGAAAAAGGTTCAGGCACTCAAAGAAAATGGCAATGATCTGAGATTTCTTCGTTTGTTTACATCAAATTCCAATTGGCAATACTTGATTATCATTAGATTTATTTTCACAATGTGACCCCACACAGGTCTGAAAATATCAGAATCCATGCATTGGGACACTGCTATATAGTGGAGCCATAGTTAATTTAGATTGATAATACTTAATAAGATGTATAACATTAACTTAAGCTAAAGACCTAAACACCAAAATGATATATACGTGGTTTTACCTGTCACTAGATCCATCTATAACCACATACATGAGAGGATAGGATATTGTGTTGGTCTGTGTGTCTGTGTGTGTGTGTGCACAGCTGGCCCACAGTCCCGTCTCCTGCCTTTCCCTCTCTTCACCTCATCAGTTGAAAGTTGCCGAGCTTCCTGATCGATGACTTTCACAAGCTCTGTGTTTTGATGAATTGACCCTTGCCACGCCAAATACCTTCGCTGTAAGTGTAATTAAAATAATAAACGCAGGATTTCTGACACAGGCATGCTTCATGGCGAGCGCAGTGATCATTTGCCGGCGCATTTCACTTCGGGGTTGACAGAGACAAAGGAGATCACAACGTCCCCACGTAGCAAAGTAGGAGAGCAAGGCTGTGATAGATTGCAACCATTTGTCTTCAGGATAGTGGCTGTTTGAGTGTGTGTTTCAATGTGTATCCACCATCATATGTCTATGTGGCATTGCGTGTGTTGATATTGGTTGAGTGTGATGAACTGAATTATAAATGACCACATTTTCTCACACCTTACTATGTGTAACTGCATATCTACTCTACCTGGCAGTTTTTCTGTGTGTATATATATTATATATTGTTTTATTGATTTCATTTTATAAAAATGAATGATTATATCACTAGCATAGACATTCAAAATCGTTGATCTGACTTGTAAGACTGATCCTTTTGGATCCTCCTGGCTTTTCACAACCCTTGACACTGAGAGGTAGTGAATATTCGCATGCAATGTCTGTGTGTGTGTGTGTGTGTGTGTGTGTGTGTGTTGTGGAGAGGGAGGACTTCATACTGAGATGTTGTTTCTGGCAGAGCCCAAATAAGCATGAAGATTAAAAAAGGAGCCTGTCCAGCTCTTCTTCTATCCCGCCATCGTGAAGGCAGCTCTGTCTGGCTGAGACACCTGGAGGCCCTGATGGATGGCCACAGTTATGCATTTGAAAATAAAAATGTGTAAATTCATTTTGTTGCTGTCTGTGTCTGGCTAACGAGGTCAGTGGCCGCAGCCAAGAAGAAAAGAAAAAGCATGACATGGGTCTCATCGCCATATTATTTTGTATGCAGCATGATAACCAGCACTGTACAAATTGCAAACACTGTTTGTATGATGACATCAGTAAGAACCAGCCAAAGATTGTGTTTGATTCAGTGTGTGAGAAGCCAGATCGGCCTGATATTTAGACGTTTTTTTCTTTAAAATAATACCTCGGTCCTCCACAAAGTGGATATGCGCATGTAGTTCCTTAACAAGTCCAAAAAATGCAGCTGCTCGTCTTTTAACAAGAACCCTGAAACACGAACACATTACCCCCTTCTGGCCTCGCTCCACTGGCTCCCTGTACATTTTAGAATACATTTTAAGATTTTAATGTTTGTTTTTAAGTCACTTAATGAGTTGGCACCTCAGTACATCTCTGAGCTCCTGCACACTTACACCATCAAGGTCATTGAGGTCTGCTGATCAACTGCGGCTGAACCTGCCCAGGACCAGGCTGAAGACCAGGGGTGACCGCTCTTTTTCAGCAGTTGCCCCCAAACTGTGGAATGACCTACCTCCTTACATTAAAGTGGCGCCCACCCTCCACACCTTTAAATCTCGTTTAAAAACATATTTTTATTCCCTGGCTTTTAACTCACCATGAAAGCTGCTGTGGTCTTTGTTGTCGCTGTCATTGTTGATGTTATTTGTTTTGTTTTTATTTAACATGAACATATTTTATTTCATCTCTGTAAAGCACTTTGGTAACCTTGTTGTTTTTTAAATTGTGCTATATAAATAAAGTGGATTGGATTGGATAACATTTGCTGAATATAAGCCGAATAAAGACTATAATGAAGAATAAGAACCAAACTCACCTTCACATGGTGTTTGGCCAGTAGCTGGAGAAGCTCTTTGATTTCACCATTTTCTGATTTCCCTTCCAGCTCCTCAGACAACTAAAGAGGAGAAGATACAGATTGTTCACACAAATCAGTAAAGGCTATTAAACATGCCTGACAGGAAATTAAAAATCCCACTGTGTTCTGTAGTGGTTCTCACAAAGATTATTATATTTAATGATTATTTATTCAAGGAAGTTTCCCTTTTTTCCAGGAATACCCTGATAACATTCACTCAGTTACTTTGGATTTATACTTGACAGGTTCAACAGAAGTTCAGCTGTAAATACCACTGGAATAGCTTTTCATTTAAATTGATATATAGTTAGTAGTGGGATTATAGTTGTTATACATTTACTGGTGTGTTCAATAAAAAACATAAAAACATATAATTGTGTGTTTTAGTGTGTATTAGTTTAAGCAGACTGTCTATTGTTGTGACTTACATGGAGATCAGATCACATTTTATGACCAATTTATGCGGAAATCCAGGTAATTCCAAAGGGTTTACAAACTTTTTCCAGCAAGTATAGTCAAAACAAGTGGAGGGAACCTGCTAGTAAACTGTATTAATCTCATGTGTTTTCAATGCTCTTTTCAATTATACAGTTTTTTCAAGCCTGTTTTCAACTGCTGACTTGAGTTTAAAACATGATTCTTGTCAGGATTGTGGTGGTTGAGAAGGGTAAGCAGGGTGGTGGAGCCAAACGCAGGATGCAGAGCAGAGAAGGTACAGTTCAGAAAGGGGTTTATTCCATAAACAAACACTTACTGGCAGAGTGGCTGAGACTAATCCAAAAATGAACATAGAAAACCAACAGAAAATCCAGAACGAGTGTAATCCAAAATACCAGGAACTAACAGGGAACAGGCAGGTAACAGGACAAGACAGAGCAAACTACAACCATGACAACGAGGGACAGAGCGTATACACGTGACAATGACCAGACAGGGAATGAACAGAAACACTAAACATCCATAGACAGGGACTAACGAGCAGGGCGGGAGCAACGCAGGTGACCGGCATCAGGGCCAACGAGGCAGGCAGAGAGACAGCAGGGGGGAAGAGAGAGACACCCACAGATGCAAAACACCATACACTAACTGGAACTCAAAGTCACAAGCAGACAGATCGCGAATACACCAACAACAAGGAACACAGACTGAAGCAAAGAACAGAACTCAGATTACACATGGGTAAAAACACAGAAGTACACAGACCAGGAGTGAACACTTAAGACATGAACTAAGGTACAGGACTAAGAACTAGCACACCGAACTAGGAACTAAGATACGAGATGAGACAGATACTAAGTAACTTAAAGATGAATAATAATAAAGGCTACACAGAGAAACAAAGAACCAAAAACGGACTTAAACAGGAAAGATATGAACACAAAGTACAAAAGACCAAAACAACAGATAAGGTCTCTTTGGAAGTACACCCAGTTCGGAAGTATGTAACAGTGAAGTAACCCCTCATAAGTATGTGTAAAAAGTACTTTCAGGCGCACTCTCTCATTGGATAGGAAAGGTGATATTTGGCCAAATTGTGTGCATCTTAATGGGAGGCAAGGTCACTCCTTGTCATGGGGCCTATAATTCGCATTTGTTACCACGTTTCTCTTGATTAAATTTACTGTTCAGCAGGATCATTTTTCAATGAAAATCTCAGGAACAAAAGAAAACAATTCATTCCTCTTGGAAACAATGGGAGCTGGGAGAGCATCATTGAGCAGTGGGACTGAGCTGGACTACATTCATGATGAATGTCTGGTAGCTCAGAGACGAGTGACTCTGCTTCTTAAGCCCAGGCCACGCTCCTCTGTCTGCGTTCTGATTTATGGATGATCCTCCTGGACGTGGTGTGAGTGTGTGGAGAGGAGAGGCGGGCCATTGCACACAAAGACATGCTTGTACTGAACTGGGATCAGGAACTAATGTCGGCTACACAAAGAGGGCCAGTGGAGATCACAGAGTGAGGTTTGAGGGGAGAAGTGATCACACACGCGCACACACACACACACACACACACACACACACACACACACACACACACACACACACACACACACACACACACACACACACACACACACACACACACGTGTTTGTCTGTCTTGTATGTGTGGTGTGTGAGGATACATGTGCAGATGGTAATACTGTACATCAACATTTACTGTATGCGCAATGAGCTCAGTTGGTGGTGCTCAGGACTCCTGTTCACAGGGTTATGTGTTCAATCCTCACTTGCTGCTAGTACTTTTTTCTACCTTTTTCAACAAATTGATTGTGAAGACATCCTATTACATCGTATCACAATTAAGCATGCAGGAGTGTGTACATCCCGTCGACTGGTCCACATCAACCTATGGATGCTTATTTTCGTGTCCCCAGTATCTCCAGGCAGAGGAAATTCCTCGTTTTCACCATTCAGGGGAATCTGCGATCTCACGTTTTCTGACTGCCTTTTCAGAGGTGTGTCAATCACGCTAGAGACTCTTTTGAATTTCCTTCAGAAGTAAAAGCTCTTTAAACACGACATAAAGTACTGCTGCAAAAATGTTCTTGCGCTTTTATTTTACTTAAGAGGAAGTGATTATGTGAGTAACTTTTGCTGTCATGACTGAGATCTGTTTCAGCACCAGCCGCTATAATAATTTTTTGTTTTTGCTGCTATCAAAGTAATCTGGCTACGGGCCAGACATTATTGCTGGTGAGCCGGCTTTGGCCTGCGGGCTGCCTATTGACGACCACTGCTGTATATGATGTTATGTGTTTTTTGTACCACATGTACTGTGTGTGAGGTGGTGCAGTTCAGCCTTTGAGCATACATCAATATATACAGCAAAGAATACCCTCAACACATGCAAACACACAGGGTATTCACACAGAGCAGTCCATGTGGGCTGAAATAGTTCCGTTTGGTGCACTCCCTTCAGCAAGCAGCATTATTTTAAGAAAAATGAAATGTAGAGCTGAAATGATTAGTCAGAAAATAAATCGACAACTACCGTTAATCAAGTATAGTCACTTTTCAAGCAAAGTGCTATACATCCATTATTGAAAATGAAATATCTTTTGGACTTTTGCTCGGACAAAACAAGCAATCTGAAGATGTCAGTGACCTTGGGCACTAGGAAGTTGTGATGGTCATTTTTCAAACTGACATAAAATATGATGCGATGCTTATGTTTTTGTTTTGGACCAGCATGGCCCTTTTATCCCTGCTTATAAGGTGTAGGTGATAGAGGGAGAACGTTCGTAAGTCCAAAATCAGAACAGATGAATGATTTATCACAACACAAATAAAGAGATTAACATTTTAAAATATGAATTAATGATGACCAAAAGAATGACATAAAATTGACAGAAGTTGCTTAATTCCTTCGCTGATCTACAGCCTCACTCCAAATACTTTTAAATGTTCCCTCAATCCTTGTATCTTATTAGACTTCATATTTTCCTGACATTATAGCCTGACTGATACTGGGGCTTTGACGGTCAATACTCATACGACATTTGAGAGTTTAACATACCCCATAATGCCATCAGCTGGTAGTTGTTTTTCCCATAAAAACACAACATAAACCTAAATATTTGAATAAGGATACCTACATTTGTTTTCTGTTTTAAAGACTGCGAAGATGGCATGTTCTGAGTGGGACATTTTACGGTTAAATGATCTCTGATGACAAATCATTTAAGGAAGACAAGAGTTTTAAAGCTACTATAAACATACAGCATATTTAGAATTTCTGTACTGACATTTCTTATGACACCTAACATATACAATGTATGTGCATTGAGCTACTATCGGTGATATATCACCCCTTTTATATATATTTATATATCACCCCTTCACCCCTCTTTCTAGCTCTACTTAATATTAGATGTTACATACTGTAAATTGTCCTTCTGTGTCTCCATTTTGTAGTTCCAATCCTGCTACTTCTGTCTAATATGTAGGTACGACAGTTACTGCATGTCTGTCATTCTGGAAAAGGGATCCAAAACAAATGTAAATGATGGAACAACAAAAGAAAAACTTGTAACAGCTACTATTCACCTCACAGTGGACGGAAATGTGGCTGATGACTTGAAATATTACCTTTAATAAACCATAACTAATGAATTAACAGCATTTAAAGAAAAATGTTAAATGCCTATTAACACTTTTCACACAAATTGTGTATGTTAAAGGTCTTAGCATAAAGCAGTGTAGCGTGAAGATACACATGGATTTATTGGTGCCTCTGTTCATTACTTAATAGATAGCTGAACAGGGAAATCTCACCAAAATGCAGTGGACTCCTTTAAGGCAGATGATGACAGAGGTTGGGAAAACCTACATTTCTTTGACTAACGACCCCTGTGGTGCGGGAATACGGTAACAGTGGTGAGGTAGAGTCAAAGGCAGGGGGCTATGGGTAAAACTGGGGTTAGGGAGGACGCTATGTCACTTCACCTGAAGATAGGAACATGTGCTGTGGGCTGGGGGTCTTTTCATTATTTACATTAGCTTTGACTAACCAAGGGAAATAGATCATGCTAATGAATAGTCACAGTGGTCAAGGTTACTCTACCTGAACCCCAGTCAACCCTGCATTACTTCACTTTATCAATCTGTAAAGTTCTGAAAGGAAAGGTTAGAGGGAGACAGAGGAAGTGTGAGAAAAACAGAGACAGTGGACAGGGACAAGCAAAAAAAGAGAGACAAAAGAGACAGCATATAAGATCACTGGAAAGAAGAGAAGAAAAACAGAGGAAGTGATAGAAGAACAGATGAGGAGGAGAGCGAGAGGTAAAGACAGAAGGAAGACTGGGTCAGGGTCTTTAGTGAGGGAAAATCTTTTGCTCTGATACTCCGACATCCATCATGTCATTGCCAGGTTTACGGCGAGGCAAAGACAGGCAGAGGACTGTAAATTTCCAGTCCCTCATATTGTCCTATTAAAGCACCTTGTCCCATAACTCAGCGTGGAGGACAGATGGGACATGTTTGACAACACGCTCAGCTCTCTACCTTCATGCTTCCATGGTAGAGTCAAATTTTC